AATGTACTGGCACAACGTACTGTCAGCAACTGGTGTGCTGAAAATAGAGTCTCTAATCTGAAGAGCAATGGGTATGGCACAAAGTCCTGAAAACACTGGAGGCCCTTCAAAGTAATTAATATCAGTATATAAACAGATGTATTTTCATTTAAAAAAAAACTTTCACAGAACATAATTCCTTGTATTAAAATAACTGCTGAGTTACCTCATGTACCTTTTGGGGATCAGGAGTTATTTTATGTTGACCAAGTTACATCACAATAATATCCATCCTGCTCACACCTGTGAAACAAAATAGTTTGGAAGTCTTCCAGTTCCCTTCTCACACAGGTTTTCATCTTGTCCCAGATTGCCATTCTGTTTATGCAAGTGACCTATGTTAGGGTCACAGTGGCCAGGCTGTCCCCTCCTTATTTAGCACTGGGCACACTACTAGCTGCTGCCTCTCATCTACTCCAAGAGTCACCATATTGTATATTTTCTCAATAGTCCTGGTTGTCTTCATGCTGTCTCAATCCATGCTAGAGCCCTTGTCTCACACTTTGGCAAGAACAAAGATGCATGACCTACTCCTGTCCCAGCACAGACAATACATTGTTTAAGGCCCTCCTGAAATGAGTTCTGAGAGGTGCTGAAAGGACGACATCCCTGAACCACACTAAAACATAAAGACTTGGCAACTACAGAACAAATCATTCATCCAGGAGTCACCTGAACACTGATGATCTGGACAGGACTCCAGCCTGGAGCATCAGTATATACAGCCCATATGCACTGTGCACCCAGAGAGCATACTAGAGGTCCTTGAGAAGAATGAGACCATGTGTTCCTTCCAAGAGGCCTGTCAGACAGCTAGAAGTCCTTTATTTCACAGACAAAACTTAGTTCGTTTCAAGATATACAAAGCCTGTTTGTTTATTTTCAGTGACACGTATTACCAGCTTGGCTGGAAGTCAGCAAACACATTTTCCAAGTTCTCCTGCTTCTCCCAAGTTACAGCATGTTCAAGAGAAGCATGGTAAGGCACAGTGCCCTATACAGCTACTGCCTTTCTCAGCCACGCTACTTCCCTCACATCCATTGTGTGACAGTTCTGCTGGAGTCTATTGAAGATTTTCCCATTTCTGAGCACCTCAAAACTGTCCTGTTGCAGTGTCTGTTCTTCACCACCCAGGATTAAAACTGATTTGCTAACAGAAAAGAGAGTTTATTGAAAAACAAGCATTGTATGGTCTTATTACAAAGTACGTACTGCATTTTGATCATGTAAGGAATTAAATCACAAAACCAGTGCAAGTTTGTTATCTTGACAAATCTTAGCAAGACATTTTCTCTTCAGTTAAAAGCTCATTGTGGCTTTTTTCCTCCTTTAGTAAGGCCCCATAAAGGCTTTTGATATCAATGAAAATCTTAAAAGGCTTTACTTAACAGTAGAACCTTAATCAATGCGGTTTAAAAGTACTGCAGTTACGTGTAAAGTACAAGGAGACAGTACCTTGAAAGTGCAAATTAGTAGGAAGAAACATTGTTACCTCTCCAACCTCCTTAAATTCATTGAATTAGCTGCATAGAAAACGGGGCATGTCTGCATCCTGAATGTGAATTTTAAAAGCACACATTAGTTACACAAAGTAACCTCTCAACAGACATTCAAGTCAGGGCCACCTTCTCTGTCACTCCTGAATAGTGGCTGTGCCCTTCCAGCCACATGACTAGTGGGAAGCCAGATACCACAAATTATAGCAACCCTATCTTCTCTCTGTTTGCAAAAAAAAAAAAAAAAGCTTCTGTTTCACTACACAAACTGGGGGTGTTATCCACTGTTAAAAGCTGCCTGTAAACGTTCAAACACTAGACCAGACTCATCATAACCTTCTCTGAACTACGTGGTTAATTAGTTACCTGGTCTCAGGGCCTTTTACCTCATATAGCCTCGCCATGCTAATCGAATTTAGCACAGTAGCAAATCCAGCTTGCAAAAATATTGAAAGAAAGCTGGAAAAGACTTATCAACACCAGGATCTCCCAAGACTTGAAGAAAAATCTCTAAGGAACTGCCTTCCAAACTTGTACAGTAGCTTTTTACATTTTTGCTGTTTTGGAAACCAACCAACAACTGTTTACATTTCATGACTAAAAGGATTTGTGCTTACACTTTCCCTTTGTTGCTAGTGTCAGGAAAACTTGAGGGTGTGGAGATTTCGCAAGTGCTTCTAACAGAGCAAAAGAAAGCAAGAGAGGGAGTAGAGAGGAATGGAAAAAAGAACCAACAGGCCAAGAACGCATCACTGTTATAGAGCAGAGAAAGAAATGGTGAGGATGTGCCACAATTTAAGCTGAAAGCTTGAAGAAATGTGTGCAAAGCATGCACAACAGAGCCCACATGCATACAATGAGACCTTCAGTGTCGATGTCCATTTATCATATATTAGAACCTAAAAAAGACCCAATTTTAAAACTTGTAAAACATGGCATGTGCAACAGATCACCTCTGCCTGATTAGAGAAATCCCACACAAACACATACACCAAACTGAGACACATTATTTTACTGAATTTCATGAAACTGTGGTGTGCCAAATCACACTGCACAGCCCCCATATTCCCCACAGCATATCAAAACCATCCATCCTTTCTTGCAAAACATATAAAATTCTAACAACTGTCATTTAGAAGGGAACACCTTGCGAGTCGCTCAAATCCTCCATCCTCAAAGTATCCCCACACCTGCCTCCCAGGTCTCAGCAAAGCCCCATCCTTTCTTTCACAGATGTTGTGCAGAACACAGCACACAGTTATTATTCCAGACAGGTACTATTTAGTTGCCTCAAGCCTTCTAGTTTGTACCTGCCATCTACCTTTCAATTTCCCAAAGGCACGCTCCATTGTCATCCTGCAGCTGCTTACGTGGTAGTTAAAAACTTATTTTCTACAATGCAAATATCCAGTCAAAGGCTTCATTATTAATGTTTTTAGGGAGTATAGTGAGTCTCTGGGGATAAGAAAAGGAATGCTGATGCTATAGGTATCACATTGCTGGCTCTTCCCCCTGCCCAGTAATGCATATGGCCAGCTGTGCAATGTTATACATGAGAATTTTTTTCCTTCCTGACCCTTCCCCAGACAGCAATCACTCCGTGCCCTGAAGCAAGATACTTCCTTCTACTATCTTTTTAATTTCTCCCTTACTCATTACTGAAAACAAGCAAGATTTTCTGAAAAATCTAGCACCTCACACTGCATTAAAATTGGTTAATCTAACATGTAGTTAAGAAAAGTATTGCAGCATATGGAGGAATCAACCTTTCTCTTTGTAAATGCCAGCAACCAACCTGAAAAGAAAATAGAAATAGGAGGTTCATCAACAGTTTGAGTCAGAAATTCCCCATACACAATTCTGTTAGCAAACTCTTTAAAATTGGCAAGCATTATCAGATACAGTATCACTTTTTCAATAGCAATACAATGGCTTTTAGAAAAAAGCCATTTCTATGTCTGCTACTTCTGCTGTGAGGGCCAGATGGCAATGGATAAACATTTTCATCAAGATATAGAAGGTCACAGCTGGCAAATAGCTTCTGGATTTCCTAGATAACCCCCATACACATCATCAGGAAACCACATTTGGATTTGCTGAAGTTCAGGTGCCACTGCCAGTCATTGCTGGTGATGGCACAGTCTCCCTCATCTCCTCTACACGCATTTACTTGAAGATCTACACATTTCCAGCGTCTCTGTTGTCCATAATGATCCATTATGGATTTAGAAGTGGTGCTGTCTTCTTGAAAAGAAGCAGCTAACAGATGGCATGAGAGGAACCATGGGATTCTGCTAGTTTGATTTTCAGGAGAAAACTTTGGCTACGTATCCAACCAGGAGCTACAGGCATAATCCCACGAAGCAGAGACCGGCCCCAGCAGCAGCATGCAGACACACGGCAAGAGCCGCTGCGCCGTTCAGATGCTCCTCCATCACATTGAAGCAGTGACCTGTCGTGAAGCAAAAGGCTGTTTGTTACCATGCCTGTGTTTTGTGCCAATTACGAGGCAGTTACACTGAAAAATGTCGCTTTGATGTAAATCTCTTCAGGTAGTGAATGTTAAACACCACGCACTGCTGGGTAGGTGTATGATTTTGCAGGATTGGAGCCCGCATCCAGGAGTAATTAGCAAGACCGTGCCAGTCTTCAGTCCGTGTACTGGACTGCTGGGCCTGATGCAATGGCTACACAGTAGGATATCGTAATTAGCAGAGATGCAACACACTGAATAATTGGACAGATAAGGAAGTGCCACTGAAGTTTATATAAGGGAAAATATTGCCTTAGATCTAGACAGTGTCGTGTCGCCATGAAACTTAAGGCTCTTCTTTCGCGGGGGTGTGACGGAGCACAGCTGTTAAGAAGCGGTAATTTCCTTTTTGCTGTGAGGAAGCCGTCATTACCAGGGAAGCGAGGAGGGCCCGGGGGCAGCACCCGAGCCCCTCAGCCAGGGGGGCCCGGCTGGGGAGCGGGGCGGGAGGAGCCCTCGCCGCCCCCAACCCCGCACCCGCCCCACCGGGCGAAGGCAGAGGCCGAGGCCCCCCCCCTCGCCCCGGGGGACGGGCCCGCAGTCTTCCGCGGCCCCGCCGGGACAGGACCGGGCCGGCGGAGCCTGTCCCGTCCCGCCCCGCTGCCGGCCGGCGGGGCGCACACCCGGCCCGCTTTCGCTTTCGCTTCTGCCTCGCCGGAGCCCAGCGCCAAGGCAAGCCCCGGCCGCGGTCGCGGCTCCTTCCCAGCCCCCCTGCTCCTCCGCTTCGCTCCCTTGCCCGCCTGAGGGAAGCCCTCTCCGCTCCGCTCCCTTCCCGCCTCCCGCCCTCCCCTCAGCCGGCCGCCGCCTTCCCGCCTCCCCGCTCCTCCTGTCCCCCCCCACCCCGCGGGCCCGGCCCGCTGCCCTTACCTGACGCCCGCGGCAGAGGGGTGGGAGGAAGCGGCTCTCCCTCAGCACGGGATGCTTGGGCGGCCCTGGCTACACAACCGTGTCCCGAGCGAGGGCAGAAGTCCTCGCAGCGGGGCTTGCGGTGCGTGTAGGTGGGAGCGTCGGGGGTGCTGGATTCCTCCGCTCGGGGCTGCGTCTTCCTCGGCGGGGGGCTGCTTCCCCCCCCCTCCCCGCTCCGCGCTCCTCCTCGGCCGCCTGACTGCCCACCTGAGGCCTGCGCGCCCTCCGACCCTCACGGTTTGAAAAAGATGTATTTGTTTGTCAAAGCCGAATCTAGAACCCAGCTTTCGGGACCTGCTGTTACTCTCGGGGAGCTGAGAAACGCCAGTCAGTGACCCGGACGCCGGCTGGGGTGCTGCTGGTGGCCGGGGAGCCGCAGGGCCTAGCTGGCGGCCTCCGAGCTGCGGCAAGGTCACCAGGGCGTTTTTCGAGCTAGGTGTAAACATGTGCTTTTCTGAGTAAATGTATTATCAAAGCAAGTTTTATCTGCCTAAATATGGGGAAGGGGCAAGAATCGCCGCTGGTTTTCCTCATGAAAACCTGGAGCTGGAGTTGGAGAAGGTGGCTCAGTGCATCCCACCGCCAGCGAAGGTGGGGGTCCCGCGCCGCCTTCTCCACTGCCCTTCTCGGCCTCCGCCGAGCTGGTGCGGGTCATTGCGCTATCAGAAAAATGACTCCTTTCTTCTTGTCGTCTTCTGCCGGCTTAATGATCTAAATAAACTTCCTCAGTGGGCAGCTCAGTACCTGGAAGAAGAGGAGAGAGAGACCATTTTTTCGTCAGGAAAAAGTCACTAGGTCAGGTCTGCCTTGTTGTCTAGCGGTGCCCCGTGTCTCTTCTGAGATGAGTGAAGATGTTCCAAGCTTACACTGGGGTAAAAAAAATTGACGGAAATACAGCAATTAGTGTAAGAGGCTGCTTCATGTAATGAAAATACCTTTTAATTTCCAAGAAACACTTCACAACTGGTTTTTTTTCCCTAACAACTGTACACATATATTAGTTAATCATTAGAAGAATATAAAATTCATATTAAGTGTTGATATAGACAAAATGGAGAAATGAAAACCTAAGATCCCATCCATGGAAGGTAATAACAGGGGTTTTTCTCTTATGCACAATTGACTGTGTATATGCAAATGAAAACACAGGAGCTCTCTGGGTGTCTCAGTACTGGATAGGATTGCAGTTACAAATATTTTGATGTTAGTTGTCCTTGCCTTCTTCCCAACCTACTTCTTTCCAGACCATGAAAAATTTTCTGGGAATTAGTTGTAAGATCTCTCCCCATAAAATAATTTTTACTTTTGTTCTTATCTGCATATTTGAGAGCGGTATTAGACAAGTCACTTTTGATAACTGCCACAAGGTAATACAGACAGCTGAGCATGTGCAATGTCATGTTAATTCAGGGCCAGAAACCTATAGCCACTCTTACTTGAAGGTAAGTATTATACATTATACAGTATAACTGTAAGTTATACTGTAAGGTATAGTATTATACATTATACAGTATAACTGACTAACAACCCCACATGTATCTCATTTAATGGTTTGGTTTATAGAAGTATTTCTAAAATGATAGAGTTCATTGAGGGACACTTACATTCTTGTACCTATATTTGCAGATGTCAGGAGATCAGCACGTTGATAGCTCTACTCAAGAGGGAGGTGATGAAGATCACGGTGATGTAGTTGATGCAAAGCCAGACAGAAGCAGCAGATTCTCACTTTTGGGAAAGTAAGTTACTACTTTTATTCCTGTTATTGTTGTATTGGCTGTCGTGCTACCCTTCTAATGGGATTTTGGTGTTCAGTTTGCCATGTCCACAATGTCATGGATGGTCTGGATAGGGAGATGGTTTATGTTGTATAGGTTTAATGTATCTGGTCTGTACCTTAGAGCATCTCTCTATAGTATCTCCCTATAGCGAGACCTACAGTATATCCCATAAGCTTTATTTGGTAGTCAAGAGACCACTAAGTTCATTTAGCATCAATTATAGCCCTTCATCTTAAACATTGCCCTTTGGTGGAGCTGAGAATTAAATATGCCATTAATTACCTGTTTTACTGCATTCAGCTCAGCTAATCTCCTGTATCATTGGAATCCCCTGCTGACTATTTAAGTTAGTTTAAAGCCTGGATGTGCCATCTAGGTTGCAGCACAAAGAAGCCTCACTGAGTCTAGAGATGTAACCCATTACAGAATAAATTAAAAGCCTTTAATTTTAAAATATAGTAGTGTCACTGAAGCATAAGCTCAATTTCGTTAAATGTGTAGGAAGCAAGAACTATGTAATGCTTGTCTGTACTCCTGAAAACACTAGATAAATGTGATTGAAAATGAAAAAGATGAAAAATGAACATGCAAAATTTACAAATACTGTTGAATGTCAGCAAATGGCTACTTCACATTCTGAACTTTATGGATTTAGAGAGATTTAATTAGAGGTGTTTATTACAAAGACTATTGGATTTACAGAGAGGTTTTGATTTTTTTTTTACTATTGGACATTCACATTCAAGTGAACAGTATAGTTCAGAGAAAGTGCATGGAGAATATAATTTTATTTTAGCTGCTTATGAGTCTAATGGGGGTAACAAATCTGTGAGAGAAGTGAAGATGCTTTAGTCTTAGAAGACTTCTGATGTGCTGTTAAGCAAATCACTTTGCTTTCTCTGTCTCATTTTATCATTCCTCAAGTATGTTTTCTTATGTGTATTATTAATTTTAACAGAGTCACATCATGCAAAATAGAAAATGTAACATTTGTTTCTAAATCTTGCCAAACATTTTTCAAAGGTTTCTTTTAAACTTCATAAAATGTGTGGTTTAATATCTGAATTGGTCTTCTTTATAAGAGGCGATATGCTAATACTATTATTAAATTATGCAACTCAAAGTTAATAATTCCTGAAGGGAAGGCAATAATCGCATTTCTATCACTTTTTTCTATAAGAAATTTTTCAAATAATTTGGCTATGCATCAGTTTGAGGCATTCATCTTTTGGGAACTCCTTGAAGATACAATTTGAAACATTTTTCTTTAGAAGTAAGAAATTGCTCAAATTAAATATGAGGTAATTGGGAAGATTCAACTTAGATTTTGTTGAAAAAAAGTAAGTCTGAGAAATCTACCAGAGTTTCTTGAAGAAGGTGATGATTGCTTAAAGAGGAATGAGCTGGTTGACAGCGAAGGTCTTAAAAATCCAAGCACAGTGACAAGGTCTTTGTCTTATAGAAACAAAAACTCTTTGGCCTGAAGGAAGATAGGAGATGAATGTGAGAGGATAAAGGAAGATGGGATATGATTTTAAATCATGACTATAATGGAGGAGAAAGTGACTAGAGAATGATCGTTCCTTGTGCCTCACTGGAAATCTAGGGCACATCCAATGAAAGGTTCATGCCATAGGTTTAAAACAACTGATGAGATGTAATTTTCACATAGTGCAGAATGCAATTGTAGAACTTAAAGTCACAAGATATGCAGATGTCAAGATTTTAGATGAGTTCAGAAGAGATTAGATGTATTTGTGGAGGGAAAGTCCAGTAGGAATATTAATGTTAAAATCTTTGGTGCAAGACGTTCCTGAATCCCGTTTCTGTGAGAATATATTCTATATCCAGTTTCTTTTTTTTGTTTTCTTAAAACTCATTACTAGTCAGTAGCAGATACTAGGCTAAATGTACTTTTAGCTGGAACCAGCATGGCTCTATGTCTTGATTGCCAAGGCTTAATTTTGGCAACATGAAATTAATAGCTGTAAAATAAGATGTCTAGAAAGCTTTAGATTGACTACAATTTTATGGTCCCTTGTTTTGTTTTGGCAACCCAGTTTTTACCAGCTGTGCAGTACTTTCAGTGAAATTCTACATTGTATTTCATTTATTATTGCTTAAAATATATAAACTCAATTGGTAAAAAAGTAACTTGTGTTGTTAAATAAGCCCATTAGTTTTCATTTAAGAGAACAGGGTAGTGAGAAACTGAATTCAGAGCTGTACAGAAAGACCAGCTGTTTCTAGTAGCTTCACAGCTCCAAGTCACCATTCTCTGGCTGTGACCGGAAATTTATCTAGCAAGAGCAGTAAGTAGAAATAAGTGAAAACCTTATTCACTACAGCGTATTTCTCTCTGACAAGTCCGTGAGCCTGCTTTACTGTGGAGGCCACGATGCTCAGAACAAGCCATGGAGTGGGCAGGTTCTTCTGGCTTCACCAGTTTAGGGAAATTATCTTCTATGTTATTTCTTTTTCTTTGAAAAAGTGCTAGTATGTAGTTAATGTTGGTGGGGGAAAACTGTTTGATGGGGAAAGGAGTTGAAAGAAGTAAGTTTTGAATTAGCATCTGCTGGTGGTGTTTGGTTTAGGGTTTTTTTTAGCCACTAGATGGCAGGAGGGTATCAGTTTTGTTTATTGCCAAAAATGGGGACAAAAATTAGGGAGAGTTGCAGCTGAGCAAAAAGTTGTGTTTTAGAAAGCAGAAATAGCAGGATACACTCTGGCAAGCCTGTGCACAATAAAATTTTAAAACGTGGTTAAACAAAGATTGAGCTGAGGAGTTGAAACATGTATTTTAATTCTTTATGTCATAGTTAGAAATTAATAAAATTCTTCCCATAGAAATTTTTCTTTTCTGTGCTGTATGTGCTCCTGTTACACTTTCAAGGCCTTAAAAATATTCTCACTTCTCCACAGGATGATTTAATATCTTCATTTGGTATCTTTTGTCTTTTATTGGGGAACTCTGTTAGGGAGATTGATAGCAGCAAACCTATTTTAGCATCCAGGAAACATAAAGTAACATGAAACGGAATAAAATTGTGGTTCCACTGTATTAAGCAAAGCTAAAATTTCTCTTACTCCTAAGTTGTTTTTTTTGAAAATGCTCCATCTAAAAATTCCCAAGGCTTGGTAGACTCACACGTGCGCTGTCAATAACCATGACTGTGGGCTTCAGTGAAGAAGCATAATGCAGAAAAGGGTGGTTGTTAGTAGTATCTAGGTACCAGTTTTATTCTAATTTAATTGTATAGAACCATTTGGTCTCTGGTTACTTTTATCTACTCCAGCTCTACTGTCTTGTTTTACAGTCAATATTCCCCTTCTCATCTGGAAACAGAAAACATAATTTAAATATATATTTAAGAATTTTTACAAATACCTAGTTACAATTGAAACTCTGATTCTGTAGTGCCCTTAATGCAGAAACATGAAATATATTGTAAGAAAATCCCATTGAGGAATTTGAGAGGCTTGTAGGGTACACTGACATGTAGTTACCAACAGTACTACTTGTACTAGGGGGACAGCCTGCCTCACCATGGTCTTCACCACGGGCTGCAGGGGAATCTCTGCTCTGGCATCTGGAGCACCTCTTCCCCCTCCTTCTTCACTGCCCTTGGTGTCTGCAGAGTTGTTTCTCTCACATATTCTCACTCCTCTCTCCCAGCTGCAGTTGCTAGGGGTTTTTTTGCCTCTTCTTAAATATGTTCTCCCAGGGGCGGTACCACTGTCACTGATGGGCTCAGCCTTGGCCAGCGGCGGGTCCATCATGGAGCCAGCTGGCATTGGCTCTGTCGGATACAGGGGGAGCTCTAGCAGCTTCTCACAGAAGCCACCCCTGTAGCCTCCCTGCTACCAAAACCTTGCCACACAAACACAGTACACTGATCTTGTAAATTATAATTGCTTGCTCTGTAGAAAAAGTACTACTGCTAGCACCGTATGCTTACAAAGAAACTGTATTGGCCTCCACTGCATGAATGTCAGCTGTTCTTGCCTTGCAATTAACGTGTTCAAATCCAGATGATGCCTTGAATGATATCTCATCTTTTTTATCATAACTTTTACAGTTTTAAAATTAAAAATGCAGTTCTGTTACAGGTTTTTCAGAGACAGAATATTACAGACCTTTCAAAAATAAATATTGCTAAGTAAAGTATCTCTTTTATCCTTAGAATAAAAATAGCAAGTTACTTTAAAACAAATAACAGCTGATGAATCATTATCTGAAGTTATGCTCTGGGCTGCAACACAGAGGTCTGAACTAAACTCTTGGTTCAGCCTCACATTTTCTATATGTCTCTAAGCAAATCACTGTGTGCCTTAGTCTGTCCTGTAAATGGGTAGTGATCTTTTCTCTTACTATCCTAACTCCAAAGTCTAGCACAATATAATTTTAATTTTGTTTGGAGTTTGTGAGTTCTGCTTTGCACAAGCTAAATATCAGTGTATTTTCCCCTGAAGCGCTGAACCTAAAATTTCAGAAGCAATAGGTTCTGACATCCATAGTCTGTTAAAGTTAATTCCTACAAAGACAATGAAAAGATTTTAACAAAGAGCAACATAGATGTTTCATTTTCATTACTCTCTTTTAAGCCAGAGGTTGGTGGGTTTTTTATTCTTTGTTATTGCAGTTTTTGTTAGATCTGGAACTCAACTTCTGGAGAACACTGCAGGAGTATTTAACAATTAGTGAAAATTGTGGTCAGTGCTTGTACTTTCCCTTGGACACTGACTGGAGGTACCGTACAGGAAATGCCCAAGTGTCTTGAAATAGTGTCTAGTCTAAAGTATAAGAACTCATTAATTCACAGTCAGTATTTGTTTCCACTCTCCTTAGAGACTTTGTCTTGTGAAGCATAGCAAACACTGGGTTAACCATGAACTGTAGCTGTAGCAACCACAACAGTGAGTCAAGTATCCTAATTCCTTTTCAGTGTAGTAATTTA